CTTTTCTTAAATGACATTTAAAAATTGTAATTCTAGCTGACTTGTTTGTCAATTCTCAGAAATGCCAATTTACATCAAAAGCACACATGGCACAATTCCAGGAAGGGGCTATTCTCCATATCACTTGCTGGTCAGCAAGAAACCAAGTTGCTCAAGTTCAGCACTGAGCCTTCCCCACAGGACCCCAACTGATGCCACAGAAGTAGAAACCATAGTTCAAGAGAAGCAGTTCTTTTATGAAGCACAGTGTACAGTCAGACTGTTGCAATAGGAAGACTTAGATGAGTAACTTGTTGATGTTTATGCAAACACAAGGCCTATTTTGTAAACAACACATTTATGCCTTTAGGAACACATAAACTTAACATACAGAAATGCATCCACTATAGAAGTACTACATCTGTGCTACTGTTTATTTATAAACAAATAATGCTTAATAAAACAATGCTCTATAATGTGGTCTTCTGGCAGAGCTCTGCATTGACAGACAAGATTCTTAAATTCAGTTCCAAGCTTTCAGGCTGTAGATTTTCAAGTGCTTCTGTGAGCAGTTTAATCATTCCAACAAGAGCTCACTGAATCATAGTGGGGAAAAACAGAGTAATTCTCAAGATTTCAGTAAGACCGACGGAGAACACTACCCTTACGTGTATATCAGGTTTTGGGGCTGGGTTCTTCTTTTTCTTTCTTTCTTTTTTGGGTGTTTTTATTTTTTGGTTTGGATATGTTGGGTTTTGGTGGTTTGGCGTTGGCTGGTTGGTTTGGTATTTTGTTTTTTTTTTAAATACAAAGGGATGCCTTCCTATCAGTTCATGGAGATGCAAGCAACGAATTTACAGATTATTTTACCATTTTCTTTAGCCATCAGCACATTACAGCAGGCATTGCACTAAAATGCATCATTTTGTCCTTCTGAAGTTTTATGCATCACTGTCTTCAGAGCGTGGGAGGACCAAAACTGATCACAATTACATCTTTTATGCACCCCCTCCATAGTTTCATTAGACAACTGATGTTTCAGATGCTCTAGCAAGCTCCAGCTTTAATGCTGCAACAGCTTTCTTCGAACTTATCTGTGATACACCCTGAAAAAGTACATTATTTGATAATATCGCGGTCAATATTTGCACATCACTTGTGTTAAAATGCCCATATCATGTATCTGGCTAACAGGTGACAAAAATGCCAATTAATGCTTGTTACTTTTGCTATGTTTGCATCTGAATGCCACCCTAAAAATATTACAAGAAGTAAAGGTTACTTAAGCAGAAATCAAAGACAAAACTGACACTTTTTGCTACCAGAGCCAAGGAAGCACTGCCATACAACAAAATTTGCTGTTAGCAGTTTCATCCCCACTAGGCAAAGTGAGAGAACAAATGTTAAAGATATATTACTTTCAGATGGCAACAAAGAACCAATCCTTAAACATATCCTTTTACACTGCTTAATAATTTATTCACATATTTATCTAAAACCGCATACGGTCACATATCCCACAAGACAGTTGGGAGGCACCTTATTTTGTTAGGCAAACACCATTTACTTTTCCACCTTTCCCATACCTACATGTTTATGATGACTTTTACAAATATCTTATCACAATCCTAGGATCAATATACGGCAACCTCACAATGAGAAAACCTGTCAAAATAACCCCATCACCCCATACAAACACACCCCAGTCCAATAAATCAGCACATTACCAGGCATTACCGTGCTGTTATTTAAGTAGCAAAAAACAGCCATGCCCTTCCTTCTCAAAGGCTCACCATTCCTGAACCCACTGCTGATACACCAGCTACTACAAGATCCCAACCCAATTCCTCTTGGGGCTCAATTCCGTCCTAAAATCCATGGATTAACAATGTCCAATATGCTACAAGATGCAGTTCTGAAGTAAGGTTATATCCATGTTATGTTCAATCAACAATATAATTTATCACCACAATCAGCAGGCCAAGAAAAGCCACCACCCAAAATACAAAGTAAAACAAAAAAAGGGATAACTTATATGCGATGATCAAAAAGTTAACATGAATGTACAAATGAATTTTAAATGCGTGTGATCTGATCAATCTAATGCGTTGTAGCTGTAAAAGTTTTTTGAAGACATTCTTGTTCATTTTAAGCAGTACTTATTATCTGAATAAATGTAAAACTTCATCATGATTACAAAAATGTAGCATGCAGTTGCATCTGCCCTTCAATACTTTATTTTAAGCCTCAGTCAATGCCAACTTTGTAATCATAATAAACGTCTCATAATTTCACAAAGTAGAAAACGTGAATGCTTTCTTCTGAACTATCACTAGGTGTTCAACACTCAAAATTTTAGATTACTTTATAACAGCACAACAGCAAAATTTATATTACAGGAGGCTTCCTAACTGACATTTCAAGAAATCTAGAGTCCATGTACCTCAGATACTGAAAAAAACAAACCCAAAACACCCCCCAAGCCCTTCTTTTGCATAACTTTCACAAACATATGAGAAGTATGAACACTAGTTTAAAAGAAACCCCCAAACCCTGAGACTTGAGTCTTGTCAAGATCATTACAGTTATATTCTACAACAGTAGCAAGAAGAGGAAAATTACTACGAATTAACAACAACAATTCCTATATTTAATTTTATTTAAAAATCAAAGTGTTACCTAAGGCAATTACCTTGCAGTCTTTTAATATCTACAGGGAAAAGCCTAAGGGAAAATAATTGACTTTGCTAATTTTACCCTTGGCAATTATAAAATAGCTCTGCATTTCATTACGACTACAGAATTTCACATCTAATTGCCAGCCCCGAGAGAAGCACAGAGATAAATGCATCATACACAAGCTCAGACAAGAGTTTAACAGCACAATAAAATTATCTTGGTAGCAGTGATTTCAGTTAATGTTAAAACCCCCTTTAGTTTAAATTCTAGTCTATACAGCAGCCAAGCATGTCTACAGAGGTTATAGCCTACCACGGTCAGTACCATGTACGATATAATATTGCTCATTTCATTAGCTAATTTGCTGAGCTACCAAATAAATGCCAGCAAAAAAGCAGTACTGTGATTTTTACTTTTTACATCAAAGAAAACAAAACATTATGAAGGAAAAAAGTCACAGTTATTTCACACTGCTGAAAAACAGATGCCAGATTTGAAAATTCATCATTTACAAAAGAATAAATACAGTATGTTTAAATCATTGCACCTGTCAGGAGATTTCTATAGCTTGTACTTCAATTTTTCTAACTTTGCTAGTAGGGTTAGACATATGAAAAAGAATAATTTACTAAGTCAATCAGTTTCCATAATGGCATCCCACTTATCGTATGTAGAGCTATGAAAGTATTTAGATGTCAGAAAAATGAAAAAAAGTGTTAAAATGTTTTGGCAGAATTTTCCGACATGCAGTATAATGATTGCTTTAAAAAAAAAAAAAAAAAAAAGTATTTCTTTTCACTTGTGCTTCATTTCACTGTAGGCTTGTTTCCTGGCAAGTCTTCAGGGATTATACATTGCTGCTGCAATACTTAATGATGTACTAAATGCAAAGTAATAGGTGTTACATTTTATACAAGCTTCCTCTTATGTTGAAACAAAAAAATTGATGTAGAGTTAAATCCTTTTGTCTGTCTTGAGAATCTTATTAAGTACTAAAAAAAAAAAAAAAAGAAAGGATACAAATAAACAAAAATTAATAAAAAACACTATACCCCATTTTT